TCTCAGCTCTGTTCATGGTCTTATTACCAAGCAACATTATCAAACCAGGTAACGTTAAAACTAACTAAGCATGTTCAAATAAAAAGTTTTAGCCGGAAAACTCGTTTTAGCGGGAATGTTGTTTTGTTGATGATGATTGTTTGTTTTTCTCGGTTCAATACAGAGAATGTTGGACTATCGCTTTCTTACGGACTCTCACTGAACTCGGTTCTGTTTTGGGCAATATACTTGAGCTGTTTCGTTGAGAACAAGATGGTATCTGTTGAGAGAATCAAACAGTTCACTGATATTCCCTCGGAAGCAACATGGGAGATCAAAGAGAACCGTCCACCTCCAACTTGGCCTTACAAAGGTAACATACGTCTTGATGATGTCAAGGTACGGTACAGACCAAACACTCCTCTTGTCCTCAAGGGACTTACTATAGAAATCAAAGGAGGGGAGAAAGTTGGTGTGGTTGGAAGAACAGGAAGTGGTAAATCTACTTTGATTCAGGTCTTGTTCAGACTTGTTGAACCATCTGGTGGCAAGATAATCATCGATGGAATCGATATCTGCACTTTAGGACTTCATGATCTTAGGTCAAGATTCGGTATCATCCCTCAAGAACCTGTTCTCTTCGAAGGAACCGTGAGGAGTAATATTGATCCAACAGAGAAGTACTCTGATGAAGAAATCTGGAAGGTCAGAGGATTAAAATTTCAAACCTTATTTAGGTTCTTGATCCACCATCATTATATGAAATGCTCTGTTTTTGTTTACAGAGTCTCGAGCGTTGTCAACTTAAGGAGGTTGTTTCATCCAAGCCCGGGAAGCTCGATTCTCTCGGTGAGTGAAAAATCTGTAAACAATGTATAGATTTCTCTTGAGATGATAACTTAAAAAGTGGAGAACATTGTTTGGACAGTGGCGGATAGTGGTGAGAATTGGAGTGTTGGTCAGAGACAGTTACTCTGTCTAGGAAGGGTTATGCTGAAACGATGTCGGATTCTGTTTTTGGATGAAGCAACTGCGTCCGTTGATTCACAGACTGATGCTATGATCCAGAAGATCATCAGGGAGGATTTCTCGTCTTGTACCATCATCAGCATTGCTCATAGGATTCCAACGGTTATGGACTGTGATCGTGTTCTTGTTATAGACGCAGGTAAGAGCTTAAAAACATAAACATAATACGACTACTTTGTTTTATTTTTTGGGTGGACTAATGGATTCTCTCCTTTTTTTTGTTTAATTGTAGGAAAATCGAAAGAGTATGATAGTCCGGTTCGTTTGCTGGAGAGACGGTCTTTGTTTGCTGCATTGGTTCACGAGTATGCTCTCCGATCTGCTGGTATATGAAACCATTGTCTTTGTTCATTTCTTTCTGTTAGCTAATATGAATATGAACAGACCTGTTGTGACAGCAACATCCATAGTGGTGTCTTTGTATTTGGATTCAGAATCTCTGACAGTTTATGCTGATTTATCAATAAAACATGCAACAATAACAAGTTTCATTCCGGCTCATGAAACTAGCTATTTGAATCATCCAACAGTTATTGTGACTGTGTTAAAGTTAGTGTTTCGTTTTGTTTATGCCAGACAGAGATTCAATTTTGAACTAGGCGAATATTCCGACGAATTAACATGATGTTAACAAGATTCATTTGTCCTTTCAAAGTTTTTCTTTTAACTTTACTTCCGCACATTATCCAGTTTGAATTTAGATCAAACCTCCTTTATAATATATCTTTTGGATTTAAATCAAATCTCCTTTATAATATACTTCCTCCGTTTCAATAAGAAAAATGTTTTAGAATTATCACACATGTTAATGGTATATGAGCATTATTCCTAATATTTAAATGAGTAATTTAATAAAATTTCTTATTCCACCTAATTTAGTGGATTAATCCCTATAAAATATGTATTTTTTGGAGAAACAGAGACACATAAGCTCTGGGGCCTCTTTAATCTTCATTACATGTTAGTGCAAGATGAACTTATGCATTAATACAAAATACATTATTTTTTAATTTATCTTACTTAAATATCGAGTTTTTTTAATAAATGTTATATTTACTAAAGTTTGATCTCATTAATGTTGTTTTAAAAATACATAACCACACCCTAAAAATGTATATAATAAAAACGTTATCTTTTAAAAAGGTATGAAAAATAAAAACCTACCCTAGTATGAAATTGTATTTTTTTTAAAGGTATGAAAAGATTCTTCAAAATAGATAGAAAAAAATATTATTTGACAGAGATACGATAGATTCTACAAGATTAATAGTTTATACGCACAATTATCTCGAATAAATATATTGGAGAATAAATCTCACAATGAAAGTATGAATGAAATATAAATAATATATAAAAGACTTGGACGAATTTAATTGTCAATTTGTTTTTATGTTGGAAGTATTGAAATTTATCAAAAAAAATAAATAAAGTTGAAAGTTGAAAGTTGAAAAAATAAATAAAGCAATTCGAAAAGGGGAGATGAATGAGCTGGCCACTACTTCTCGCGAATGTAACTTCACTGGCTGTTACATCATTTATTTACAACTTTCACACAAGGTTTGATACTTTGGTTGATTGTAAAATATCAAACCTTCTTAAAGTTGAACGTTTAGCGCTTTACACTAAATAAAAAGCTACCACGATTAATCGACCTACACGCTAAACACTGTTCGAACACCTAATGTGCGCCTAGCAGTATTTAAACATTGTAAGAGACTAACTCTTGATCGTTTTTTCCCTTTTACTTATGAATTCATTATCACTTTCTCGACCTAGCTTTTTCAAATGTTTTTTTCTTTTTGAAACTAAGCTTTTTCAAATGTTTCTTTCTATTTTTTCTCTTTTTCTTGACTATTAAGGAACCCGTCGACTTTTTAATATAAATTTAGTGGATAAATCTGTCAATGACATTTTCTTTATAAAAAGCTGATAACCTGTATTGCATATTGATATTCAAATTGAATTTTAAGCTACTTTGTATATATTTTTAACAAATTTAATATACTTTATATATATATGTATATATGTATAAAAGATGAGTAACTTTCATGGGTCGTATAAAGTATGATATTTCATCATTTTCATGTTAGCCCGCACGCTCACGGCACATGGGTTTGTATAGCCTTTAGAGTGTTCTCTCAAGTTGTAGAATGTTTTGACTAAAGGTCCGACCTTATCCCATTCACAATATCAAATTTTCTTTTCTTTGTTCACCGATCAACAACTTTAAATAAAAATCTGATGCCAAAAAAAAAAAAAATCATTTACCATGGAAGCAAGTCTTAATATACAACCTTTTATAAATCAATAAGTTATAGATTTTACAGCTCGTACTATCGGTCCCGGTCCGGGACCAAAACAAGTTATATGAGTCACTAGTTTCTTTTGCCTTTGTCTTCGTTTAGGTATCATCTATCTTTTTTTGGAACTTGGGTATCATCTATGTTTCTGTAAAAGTTGTTACGTTGGACAAGACATTTTGTGTGACAGTTTGATGGGAGTCTTCTTCTATTTTGATCTAAATTAGTCGTAAGAACCTATATCCAATCTATTCGTACTATTTGGATCTTTAGCCACTTCGTACGCTATTGTATTATGTTTATATACATTCGTCTACAAAAAAGGAATCCCCTATCGACTATCGTAAACTAAGGTTAAACTGGAATATTCTGAGATGAGCTTAAGGAATCTTCTAGGATCACTTGTATATCATCTTGAGCTGCTGGTGGCATATGGAAGTTCTTAGAAAGATCTTAGATTCTTAATTCAGTTCTCAAGAATAACTATATGTTATTATTTATTTCGGGATAGTGTTGAAAGTGGAGGAAAGTGGGAATACGAGCAAGAAAAAGAGAGTAGAAATTCCAATGTTATTTAAAGTTGAAACAAGACACAAGAAAGGTGAATGCATCTAAGGTCGTTAGCAAAGAAGGGCCATTTAAAATCCTCTTAACGACAAAAACGTTAGTAGGTTCTGATGTGTAAAACGGTCTTAAAGACATTTTTGAAAAAGACTCCTCCAAATAAAGTTGTATTTGACGGAATTTTTTTATTTTTCTTAGGAAAACAAAATCCTTTAAATTTTTTTATAACTTTAAATACTTAAAAAAAAAAAAAAAAAGAGAGAAAAAGAAATAAAGAGCCGCCAGATTGGGACAGTCCTTCTCTTACCATTTAAGCAAAACTTTAAGAGACCACGCTTGAGAATGAGTCCCATGAGTCATGGAAAATCCAAAAGCAATGTGTTACTAGATTTTAGGTTCATTTCGGTTTATTTAGTTATGTATTTTTCAGTTTCATTTCAATTTGATTGGACCATGCATTTTATTTTCCCTACTAGTGTCTCTACATCTACTTTTATAAATATATTCTTCAACACATAATACTGATGAATGTAATACTGATCCTCTTATAAAAGGGGAATATATAATACTGACGAATGTAAATAATATGAGTTCACAAAGTTTGGCCTAGCTTTTAACTCTATTTCCAGCATATCTATTCACAAGAAGTAAAAAGTACTGAAGAAATGTTCAAGAAAATCTATCAAATGTGCAGCATTTTGATCATCAGTGAGTTTCTATACATTTGATCTATGATTATATTTTTATGCATGCTTCTCTGGGGAAAATTATATTTTCGGAACTCAAAAAGTATTGGCAATCAAATCATAAAGTAAACTATGGTCAAAAGACATTTTCAAAACGATATTTGTTCAAAGCTCATAGAGCAATTACACAAAAAATTGTATGTTCAACTCTATGAAAAGAAAAAAAAAAAGTCGCAAAAGCATTTATCACTTTCTAATTCAATTTTTTTATAAAGTTACTTGACAAGTGCAAGAATAAATCCCTGAAAATTAAAACAAACATATAGATGAGAGAGAAAAATAAAATAGTAACAGTAATAATAATAGTAATAAAATATGAGTAGCCAATAATTCATAGCTTGTCTATAAATGAAGAGGTTCAAACCCACAGAATCAAGCACTCCCACTCTCTTCTTCTTCGTTTCACCCACTCACTTCATTCTCGCTCTTAAAACATTTCGTGTTCCTTTCTCTCTTTCTCTCTAGAAAAATGGGCATCGTCGATGGGAGTAGCAAGACACTATGGGGAAGCATGACACATGGACCTTCCTCACGTTACGCACTTAACGGCAAGATCATGCTCGCTTCCGTTATCATCCTCTTCGTCGCCGTCATTCTAATCCTCTGTTTCCACAGCTACGCCAGATGGTTATTCCGTCGTCAAAACCGCCGTATTCGCCGCCGTATTAGTGCTCATCTCCGATCTCTCTCCGCCGCTAGAGACCCCACCCAATCCTCTTCCCTCTCTCCTCTCGACCCGAAGGTTCTCGAGAAGATCCCCATCTTCGTTTACTCCGTTGAAACCCATAAATCTCCTCCCGAAGATTGCTCTGTCTGCTTGTCGGAATTTGAGGAAGAAGACGAGGGACGTGTCCTTCCCAAATGTGGACATGTGTTCCATGTTGATTGTATTGACACGTGGTTCCGGTCGAGATCTAGCTGTCCGCTTTGCAGAGCTCCGGTTCAACCGGACGAGTCGATTACTGAATCCGGTTTGAGGAATTCAGAACCGGTTCCTCCCGTGTTTCATCAATCGGTTAAGCCAATTGAGGATACCGAAGGTGGAAGCTCGTCTTCATCTGACGAATCAGAATCCTCCACGCCGTCTTCGTCATCTGCTTCGCCGGTGAGGTTTCCGACGGAAGCGTGCGAGAGGGAACCGATTGATTTAGTCGGTATAGTTGTTGAGATTCCCAGAGAATTGGACGCTTCTAACTCCGGTCTAACCGGAGATAACGGTTCGAATTTATTGAGAGGCTATGGAGTATTTGATTATTCTAAAAGAATTTTCGGACACTAAAGAATCCGACCGGGGAACCCGGAATATTGCGTGGGCTAGAATTCGGAGTCTTTCATGATCCGCGGTATATGGCGGGGTGAAGACACGTGGCGTTTTTGAGTATCCACGCGGCGGTCAATGCCAGATCCTTGGGACGTTTTCTCTACGAAGAGACGGAAGTGAGATTAAGAAAAAAAGTAACGGAGCTACTCTGTGATGTAAAATACAAAGCAAAAGCTCACCACCACCAAAACGATTTTCTTTGTTCTTTTGTAGGGTAATCTCGTTAATGGTTGGTTACATAAATGTAATTAAATAATCGAAACGAATCAAGGGTTCAATGAACCCATTTCATTGAAATTTTTCTTATCACTTATTTGTCAATATTATTCATTATTAACCGAAGTTTAGCCCTACTTGGTTGCATCCATTTGTAAACCTCTTTTTATTCAGTATTTCATTTACAGTTACACTTCCTTTTTATTTTTTTACAGTTACAAATTTATAATTCAGATGTAGTTTCCATTGTAAAGCTGTGAGGCATGCAAAGTTTGTGTGCTGAGAAAAATTGCATATACAACTCACTCCACTCAAGTCACTAATGAGGAATGAGGATTCTCAGCATGTCCCCGCTTATGAACCTAGAGAAACTAATATAATTAATCGATTTGTATACCACGATAGTGGTATTAGGTTGGATGGAGTTTTGACACGTTGACACGTACACAAACCAACGTGGACTCGAAGACTCTAAGTTGGGACCATCCGACCAACTCGCGTGCGGTGTGCATGGGCAAAGAGTTTAGATATCAACTCAAAAGAAAGTGGAAGCTGATCTATCTCATAGTGTTTTTTTCGTATAATAAACACAATACGAATCACCTTTAAATTTAAAAAGTTATTTCTCGTGCACATGTCTCCAATTTTCAATTGTGGGGACGAATTCCCAACTTTATTATAAGGAATATTGATATAACATGTCGACCAAAATCTTTTTGTTGAATAACTATTTGACTCTCAATCTTTTCTTTCTATAGTCCACACTATTGTTAGGAAGAAAAAAAGGGAAGGCATCGTTACAATAATAGACCTAAACCCAGTGGCGGATCTACTTGTCTGAAAGGGGTCAGCTGACACCCCTTAAAATTTATATATGTGATTTGTTAAGCAAGAACAAGTGTACTAATTGTTATTCTCTTTGTAGATCGACAGTAATTTCCAGCTAGACACATATTTAAAGAGAACAGAGTCAAAACGTTGACTACATTAACCTTGATTTTGAAAAGAAACCTTGATTCTTAAACGATGATTCTTAAACGTTGAGAAACTAATTGTTGTGTAGCACTGAACCTGTCTGCAATACAAATTCAGATTCGATTACGTTATGTACTTAGAGTATCTCCAATTCCACTCCATTTTGCAGTAAAATATGGAGTGGAGTTGGAGATGTTCTTATGCACAACTGCACAAGGGCGATATTTAAATTTTGCTGATTTATGGTGTTCTTGTGTTTTTCCATGAATATATAATAAATAATCAGTTATTTAAATATATGGTGCAATCAATCTATGCTTAATGACTATAGTGCATTATACTCGTAAACTATTGTTTATTAGGTTATCAAGAGACAAATCGTTGTTTATGCGCATTCAGTATACACGCGTCAATATACTGCCCACAAATTACAAATAATCTCTACTAAAGTAACCTTTAGCATAAGGAAATTTTTTTCCTATTGATATTAAATAATTTTATATATAAGCAGTCGCACTTAATCAAACAGAGATGTTCTTCATACAATTTTACTATATAAAATTACAAAGAAAGAAAAAATAACCAAAAAGATAGATTGCATTGGTAACACAACCAATCAAATGGAATCAGTACAAATAAACAAAATAACATTCAAATAAATAAGATTAAATATTAAGTGAGCTCAGTTACAATGCATATCATGATTAGTATTTGGGAGTGGTGGGAGCAGCTTTGTGACCGGTGAAATAGAAAGGTCCGACGCTAAAGATCTTCAAGTTCTTGTCGGAGTGGTGACGGTATCCGTACATCGACAATGGAACTCCGGTAAGACCCTTGTTGACATTGGTCGGGTTGTTGCAAGCCTCGACAGGAGATGTGTAGAGCTTGACACGACAGTGAAGTAGGTCCTTAATGTTGGTCAACGCCACATGGAAGTATCCTTTAGAGTCAGTTGGATCGCTGTAGATCACAACATCCTTCTTGCCCTTCCCGTATGATCCTGGCTCGGAGCACACAATCTTTGCCTTTGCTCCTGCATGAATTCAATTAACCGAGTTTTCTGATTAGTAATTTTGTTGTAATAATTTATATTTCATTTAAGCTTAAATATCTATTTATACCTTGAATTGGGTAAGTCTGGTAACCGTTTTTGCAGAGGATGATGCCATCAACGGCTTTAAGAATCTCTGGGACGTATGGTTTGGTGGGTGGAGTGTAGGTTGGTTTTGGGACATATGAAGGAGGTGAATAGCTCGGAGACTTTTTGTGAACCGGAGGAGGGAGAGTTGGCGTGTAAACAGGTGGAAGGGTTGGTTTGGTGTAGACTGGAGGAGATAGAGTATGCTTGTAAACCGGTGGTGGGAGTGTGGGCTTGTGAACCGGTGGAGTATAAACCGGAGGTGAGTGAGTTGGTTTGTAAGTCGGTGGAGTGTAAACCGGAGGTGGGAGTGTAGGCTTGTGGGTTGGTGAGGTGTAGACCGGAGACATGGGTTTGTGTACCGGTGATTGGTGAACCGGAGGAGATGAGGGAGTGTGGTAATCAGCGGTGGCTATGGTGGCCAAAGAGAGAATGAGGCAAATGGCCACGGATACGCGTGTTATCGCCATTGCAGAGCGTGTGGCTTCTCTTTTGCCTTTTGTTACTTCGTTTTTTTTTGTGTGTTTGAAGTAGGATGAGGAAAATGATTTCATCAAATGGGGTTTTATAAGAACGTTGATGAGTATAGAAGAATTTTAAAATGTTATCTTCAAAGGTGAATAATAGAAAATCATGTTTGGGACTAATTATAGTGTGATGCATGATCAAAAAACATGCTCGCCATACACACGTAGCCGACCAAAGGTATACTCGAACTGAAATGAACGTTAACTGGGCTCGGATATTTAATAGGCAAATGAATATAAGTCTGTGCTTAATATTATACACACATTTATTGGGCTTAAATAATCATCAATGTGTAGTTATTTGTCCAACGATATATAAGCCAGTTAAATCAAAAGCCCCAATGAAATTAGCCCAAAACATTGAAAAACGGAAACCCTAATGGTTTACAGACTATATATTTGTCGTTTCCTAAACATCAAGCCGTATGAGAGACCCACTCATCGTTGTTTTTAATAGATATTCGATTTTGTGTTCTTAAAGTTCCCCGTCCTTGTGTTCTTCTTCTTAAATTTTTTTCACATGCTTCGGATAGTTTGATTTATTGTTTTTTTAATTGGTGAGGTTTTAGAAATTAGAGATTGAAAGAGCCTTCATAATCCCAGCTAAGTTGATGAGGTACTTATCTGATTCATGGGAGGCCTAAACCAATGTTGCAAGTTTCGCTGATAATACCTTCTTTTTTTTTAATCCCAGAAGGTGTTTTATTAGTAACTTCGCTTACATTTTATTCTACCTTCAATCTCAGTTTTAAAATTTAACTGTATGCTTTTCTTTACTCCAGTTTTACCACACCAGATTTCACTTTGTAATTGATTTGGATTTACTAAGTACTTTTTTTTTTTGAAACACTTTTTTTTTGTTTTTGAAACACTAGAAATACTTTTTGTTTATTCGGAAATTTCATTGATCGTTTCATGATTTTTTTTTGTACATGTCAATAATGTTGTAACCATAAGCAGTAAACTAAATTATAACCTAATGATTAGTTGTTAATTGTCTTTGGTGTAATGATTAAGGTTGAAGTTGAATCATAAACCACTATCTAAACCCTTTGAAAGAGAACTGATGTTGCCCTGTTGGTTTGTTCCTTTGATGTGTCACACAGATTACTAAATAGTATTTAGTCTGGGTCCTTTAGCGTACGGTCCCTTAGCTTTTAACTGAGTCTTAACGTACGGTCCCTCCCTCCTTGAGGGATAAGGGACGTTCCTTAGCTTTTTCAATTAAAAGTTAAGGGACCTGCAATAAATATGCTCTAATAGAACCTAAAAGCTTGGCCAAGATCAATTTTAATGAGCCTAGTCCCATGATGTGATTATAACATAGCACATACTAAAAGAAACTACATGTGAGAACCGTAGCAACATTAATATATCGAATAGTCCAACATATATTTTACTTGAAAGAAGGTTCAAATACTGCATATCTGACGATCAATTTCAAATGAACCAATACCCCGTATAAAACAATTACTAATTAAAACAATTATAGAGTGGACTAGCGAGCTTTAAAACAATTAGAAGTAGGCTAATACAAACTTTTTTTTTTTTTTTTTTTTTTTGGTCAAAAAGTAGGCTAATACAAACTATGTCAATCAAATACTAATCAATCTTTTATGACAAGATTGTAGACAGACAGAACGGAGCTTTAAATCAGAATCTCTTTGATTGGAACTAATATGTTTTTTTTTATAAAGGGCCTGCAAGCAACTGATATGTTTGTTTAGAACACTCGTGACACTAATCAGTTGAGCATGTACATGGAATTATGAATACTTCGCACTCAAAATTACAGTTTGATATCTTCGAAAATTGACATTAATCAATGGGCCTGGATAAATAGTGGGCTACTATAACGATATGGTAACCGAGTAGAGCCCTAAACGGCTAAACGAAATCGTCTAACAGATAATCACGAAACAAAACTAACAACTGGAAAACATTATTAGTTTATCATTATAACGAGTAGCTAAAGTTATCAAACTTTTAATCCCTAATACTTTCCATACCTTTTCTCCTAATTTAAAGGATTTTTTTCAATTATTATATAAGGACCATATAGATAACTCCAAGAATGGAAGTATATGAGCTAACAATTAATAACAATATATTTACTTTCCAATAATCAAATTTTACCACGTGATCCATATATATATTACCCACTTTTTACCACGCAAATAAAACTCTTATCTTACTCCCTTTAATTCAATCGCTATCTCCCTCTCTCCTTACTTGGGGTTCAAGAGTTCATATAATCTTTTGTTAATGTCAGTTTCATCAAACATACTCAAAGAGAACTCTCGTGACTTGTTGCGAGAAGAGGAACCTTGTGATGACAAAGTCGAATTTCCCATCAACGATAAGGAGGAAGAGTTTTCGATAACGAGTATTAGGATTGTTTTGGTAGACTCAGATCCTAATTCCTTAGTTCTCATAAAGAACCTCATGACACAATTCTCCTACAAAGGTATCAAAATCACATTTAATTAGGGTTTTAATGTTTTTTTATCAATTTGTTTTTGAATTAGGGTTTATGATTAGCTTTTTAATTATTAATTTGATGATAGTAACGGATTTCAAAAACGGAGATGAAGCTATTGCTTTCCTGATGACGAGTAAGCATGAGATCGATTTAGTGATTTGGGATTTTCATGTGCCCGAGATTAATGGACTTGAAGCTCTCAATACCATTGGTAAAGAGATGAATTTACCCGTAGTAAGTATGTAAAATTTCCTTATATATTAATTATTCTTCTCTATAAAACATATAATATATTTTATTCGAGCTAATGTCAAATTATTTTCAAGTAATGTCTCATGAACACCGGAAGGAAACCGTGATGGAATCGACAAAACGTGGCTCATGTAACTTTATTGTGAAGCCAGTTAGCAAAGAAGTCATTGCAGTTCTATGGCAACATGTTTACCGCAAAAGTGTATATTCAGTTGAATCAGATCCTGAATCAGTTAATAACAAAGAAGACTCCAGTAGCGGGGAACAAAACAATTCATATCAAAAAGAAGACAAGAACAAGAAACCGCGGATGACTTGGACTCCTGAACTTCACCAACTGTTTGAAAAAGCCGTCCAGAAAATGGGCGGTCTTGAAAGTAATTATTCACACAGATCTCTAGTGATTATTGTATGTTATTTACTTACTATCATATTTTTTTGTTTGTTTATTACAGATGCAGTTCCGAAGCAGATTCTCAAATGTATGCAAGAAGAAAGGGATGTGGGACTATCTAGAAACAATGTAGCAAGTCATCTTCAGGTTTTTATTATCTATATAAAATTGGTGCTGGTTAAAAATTATTCTAGAGTTAACGATTAATTAGTTTAGAGCTAATAATTTACATTTATTATGATGGCAGAAATACCGTCTAAATACAGGGAAAAAGTCATGCGTTGGCCAGGAGAGTCGAGAAGATTCTGAGTGGCGTAATGTTGGACCAAACACCACTCTTACGGCTACTAAGCCCCTCCTAAACTCCAGCTTCAGTCACCATGCTAGAGGACCGTATTTTGGTAACGGTCAAGACGCAAGAAACGCCCCCATGCAGTATCCATCGACCAATTACTTCACAATGAACAATAGCCATTTCATGACCAACTCATTGGCTAATCTTCCTTATAATACTGACTTGTTTCTTCCCCAGCAACATCAACAACCACAGTTTCAATATCAGCCGTACTCCCATTCTTCTCTTCAGTTACCTTCAGTGATAACCAAGCAAGAGTCACCAGCCATGGAAAATCCCGATCTCATCTACAATCAACATTCACCCTACTTCGACTCCAACGAGTTTTTCCCAAAAGGACTCGGCAATTTCGATACTACTAATGGTCATTGACTCGTCGACGAGAGGTGATTTATAAACCCATCTCTCTGTCGTAGCTTTTCTCTCTTTCCCCTGATTTTTTTTATTGTTCTTATTGAGGTTTTTTAGATCACACAAACGCTAATCGGAATACCTTTCATTCGATTAGCGTTTGGCCTGGCTCTTTTTTTTTTTTGTGGGACTATATGGTTTTAGTTGTGAGTGATATATAATCACTTGCGTATATATATAGTTGATTTAGTTTGAATGGCAAAAACTGATCGTAACTCATACGGTTTCCTATGTATCTTTACACACTTGTTTTCTATTTTTTTTTGGGTGTAAATGTTAAATTTTATACCACATCTTAATTTTTTGACGCACGATACAAACCAAACTAGTAGTGGAAACAAAAGAAAAACACAACCAATTGCGAGAATGAAATTTCTAAGACATATACATTGGTGGGATAACCTATTGTTTAGTCATACTTGAAAATAGACCTTACGAGACTGTTAACTTGTTGTGATTACGAATGTATACGCAGGCCCGATGGTGAATAACCTATTGTTTTTGTGGGATTTGATTAGCATCTTTTTCACGATTAAGCCACCTTATTTTGTCTTAGCAAATTAATAACGTCAAAGATAATAAAAGAACTCTCATCATTAACTGAACAATCAACAAACGCTACCTTTTGTAATCACATTCTATTAAATAAACCCACCAACTATGTGTAGGTAGGCAGTAAGCACTTCTTGATTACTAACCAATTGCGGGTTACTAGACTTAACTAGTAATTAGCGAATATAGAGACAAGCCTGCAGGCTGCAGTGTTAATCTTGAATACGATCTTTACTATATTTATACACTACAATGGCGTTTCATTTCTTCTACATAGGTTTCCCCAATTTTTCGAATATGAAGATAGATAACAATAAGAATTCATAACCAATGACCACAAATCTATAAGATTAGTTTATTTTTAGGTTAAATAAGATATTGAGAGGAGTGGAGGCAGTCAAACAAAACAAAAATCAAAATTAATATCGTATTGTAACGAATGAGAGACAGCTCGGAGAGTGACACGGAGCACATGGAACCAGCTGATTCCAGGAGAAGGCTACAGCAACTTGACCACGTGGGAGAACACTTGTATAGGACCCATTGAAAAGAACTCAAACAAAAATAACCAGTATGATTGAAGTCATGTTACGTTATAAAAACAAACCAAGTTTACGTATCACATACGCATTTAACGGATAATTTTTTTTTTTTTTGATGAAATTCGTTGTTACCTCTGGAATTATCAGGAACTTGCCACCTTTGCAATATAGAAATCAAAGTTATCTAAAAGAACATCTACATATGCTTCGGAAAAAGACTCACAGAGAACATCAAATCAATTGATCAATCAATAATCCCCACAAACATAACAAATGGCGAGATATAAAGTAAACTGCTATGCTTTTTGGTTAAGAACCAACCAGAGGACGACAAGAAAATAATTGTATAACGTTTATTAATTTCAAATTACGTATACTAAATTACGAACAATCATCCCACTCATCAAAAAGAGTCGAGAGCAATAAAGAAAACAAAAAGATAAAGAGAAGTGAAGTAAGCAAAGAGACCGACACCATATAACGTTCAACCTGATTGTACTCTTCTCAGGTGTCGTGTCGTCCTTCCCTCTTTGACTTTGCCATGTTTCGATCATTAGAAGAGGAAATAAAAAACAATAACTCGAACAAGATAACTAAGGTTGTCGGTGAATATTGGAATTAACCGCTAATTTGGATTAGACATTAATAAACGATGAGATAATCTTTTTGAGTAACAGAATTTCAAACTTATGGTAAAAAAAAACATCTGTACAAGTAAGATTCTCAACAAATCTGAACGTATCCTATGTTTCTTTTCCTTGTTGATTTTTTTTTTAAATTTATTTCATGCACAGAAGACGAACAATCGAATAAGAATACACAAGAAGAGAACATATTCCAAAAGTCTGGAAAATTCAAAGAGAATTTGAAGAAAAAAATTAATGAGAGTAAAGAAAAAAAAAATGTTTTCATTTTTTTTTATGTTTTAATCTTGTTGCTGTTGAGGAGAGGGGGTGAGAAGAAATTACCATAGCAGCAGAGAGAGAGAGACAGTACAAACCAAACCCAAACCCCCCCTAAAATGTGTTAATCAGCGTGAGTGTCCATACAAATCATAAGGCGCCCAAAGCGTATCAAGTGGACAAGGCTTCCTCGAATCTAACCGGAACCACGGTTTACCACTCCCAGACCAATGCAACAAGCTAACCGGACCGGGATGCAAATCCCTACAGCTCCCTCTCACATTATCCCCACCCAAACCATGCTGATTCCACCGATGCTCAATCGGCGCAACTTCTCCGGCGAATACAAGCAAAAAAGGAGGCAAAGACCCCAGCTCGTAAATCCGATCACTCTTCTGAATCTCCATCCATCTCTCGATCACCTCCGTGTACCCCACCTTCCTCCACCTCTCGAGATCCATCACCATCACCCCCGTGTTGAAATAACACGGCCTCCTCCCTTCGAACGCTCCCGAGAATCTCTCCTCCGACCAGAACGCGTGCGTGAAATACTTCGTGAAATTCGCGTGGCAATACTCCGGAGCCCCGATCGTTCTCGATCCGAGATCCGTCTCCCAGAGCTTCGCGATGTCGTCGACGACGATCAGGTCGGAGTCTAGATAGATCACGCGCCTCACGCAGGGCTCCAGCATCCCCGCTAGATAGTTTCTAGCGTAATTCAGCGGCTGCTCGAGCGCTTGCCTGACGGACGTCGAGATCATCGCCCTAACGATCTCCGGATCGAAATAGTAGACTTTGAATTTCAGTTCGGGGAAGCTGGCGCGGACGATGGATTCCAGGTCCGTCTCGGAGACGAGGAAATGGAAGAAGACGTTGTCGGGGCAGGAGGAGTGCTGGAGGATGGAGTGGACGGCGGCGATGGAGCCGCGGAGATACTCGAAGTCGAGAGTGATGGCGACGTGGACCAAGGAAGGGTTGCAGACGGTGGAATCGGCGTGGGAGGGGGCGCAATCGGCGGCATTGCGGAAGATCGGGGCTCTTCGGAAGGAGAAGCGGTGGGGCGGGGAGGAGGAGGAGGAGGTTGGGAAGCGGAGGTAGGCGTCGAGGTGGGAGGATCTGATGGCTTCAGCTGGAGGGAAGGATTGGAGGGAGGGAGAGAGGACGATGATGGCTAAAAGCGCGGAGAAGAGACCGGAGAATCTCATGATCCAGAGCATGGTGAAACGGCGTCGGATCGTGCGTTTCTTCTTCTTTGATTTGAAATCGAACCAACGATCCGCGGCGATTGAGGCGAGGTGGTAGGAGCGGAGGAAAGCTAAGGCTGCTTTTATGTCCGCCAGAGTTTTTTTTTTCTATCAAAATTGATAATGCATCTGATTTTTATTTTCTTTATTTGTTTGAAATGGAATCAGAGGGCTATGCCGTGGGATCGAAGTGACCTGAGAGAGGAGGAGAGGAATAAAACCTTAAACCGAAGAAGAAAAGGCGTATGTTAAGGAGGGGGCGGTGCTACGGTGCGCCACCGTCTGCTCTTTAAACGCCCTCTCTTCTTTCTCTTCTCTCTATTTTAGAATTATAGAAGATGAAGGCAGAGAGAGAGAGAGAGAGAGACTTTTTCCCTTCTATTTCTCCTTTGCCAACAAACAGATTATTTTGTATTCTCTACTTCCGCTAATCATAGCCTCTTTTTTTTCCTTTTGTATTTTGTCTACCGCCTATTCAAAATAAATAGTGTATTATCAAATCAATTTTGTAACGTTTGATTGAAATTGACGTTTTTATGGGATTACAATATTTTTGTATTTATTAGACAAATACATTTAGTTTAATTCGGCTCCTATAGGAATAAAATCATAATTTTGACATCAAGCTGTATATTAACTTACTTTAAATGGGTTTTCTTCCATATATGAACATAATACCTTTTTATAATTCTCATTCAAATTTTAAAATATTTATGTTTAAATTCTGAATATGTACCAGAAGCAATACTTGATTTTTATTTGATTGATATTTATATAGTTTACTGGGAAATGAAAACACCCATACCAAACGCGAACCAAAATCTGAATCAGACATCCATTGTTTCATTATTATATGCATTTCCGCATTTAAAAAAAAAAAGTTTAAAACCAGACCGGTTCAGAAACAAACAAGGACTGAAAGATTCATAAGTCTATTCAAATTTTGGATCTTCATTACATTAATAGTTGATACTGTTAGGCGGTTAATGTGTCACCTCGACACCAAAACCATCGCTTGCCTTTGACCAACTATCCTGATAATCCGGTTTGCTTTGTTACTCGTGAATTCTGATGTAAATTGTTTGCTTGAACTATAGAAAATTATTTAATCACAAGTAACGTCTAGAGACGTATTTACTTCCCGGCTAAATTTTACATTTGTTTGTTCTAATTCAAATAGAACAAGTAATTTTTAGTTAAGATCATTTGGCACACAACCTAACTTAACTCTATGATAATTGATTTGGTGCCAAGATAACTTTTTTTTTTTCATATCTCAAGGGGTATGCATTCAAAACTTGATAGCAATTTGTGTATTTGTGTGATAAAGTGGAGATTTCCAAATCAAGCGAACCCCATGCTTCATGCTTTATGATTCATGAGTGGTAGATAATAGGACCATTACTTTCATGTGAATTATGAACCGACTTCTTTGTCTATTTGCTGTGTTTTACTTTTTGTTCGTGTTGGGAGCTATAAGATAAAAAAACAAACAACTAAAACGTTTAATATCGGATGTTTGACCAGAAGTTAAAAAAAAACAAGCTGGTACACTTTCTTGGCTTAATTTATGTAATTCTCTTAAAAACTGTTGTGTAGTTTGCATATTTGACGAGGCAATATTGTTATCAAATCATTGTTATATCTAATATCATGCGTGATCACTACGTTCGTTTCTCACTATTCGCTAGATTATTATATTGCAATTAACATGGAGAAAAATGTCGGTAACATATATCAATGTATACCAGCCTATTCAAAGCCAAAGGAACTTCCTCTTCTTCCTCTCTCAGACAAAAAAAAAAAATAGTTTATAACCATTAGATACATCATACATGTAACCTAGTTGAAACCTCACTATCTTCTTTTTTTTTGTGTGGTATCAAACACCTCCTCTTCATCTTCTATTTCTTCTTTAAATGTTATAGTTGGAAATATAATAATATCCCAATACTACAGTTGAAATGTCTCATTTATTTATACTCAAAATGTTTCTACAAGGCAACTGTGTTCATTCGGTGAGACAAAGAGTTTATTCAATATTACACAAGTAAACTCATATTTCACTATTGATAACAACCATGGATGGTTCATGTGTCATTGTATGACTATAAATAATATACATGTTTCAAGAGTTTAGTTGGAAATGGATGAGATAATTCAGTTAATGTAATTAATTATTCGTGACAGAAGACTACAGAATCAATAATCAAATTTTTAAAATTGTGTAACTTGTTTTCTTTTATGTACCGACCACAAAACTCCATGTGCCACAATAACGGTGGAGTGTTCGTTCACTACTCAGCTAAGGAGACTTTATGTTATTTTGTTTTTAGACTTCATGTTATTTGGTCAACTCTGATTAATAGCTTACAACCTCTGTTTTATTATTTTACACATTACTTCAAAGGTACACCGTACACATGTAAACATATGTATTCTAGAGTGAACCTTATTATTTAAACAAAGCAGCAACTTTCGTTTTCAATACATAATTACAGTTTCATTAAAGAAATGGTGATTTGAACAAACGTTTTCGTTTGGTTGATTTTAGTTAACTTATTTGTTAATGTCTTTTGGTTTTATTCTTGTAAATTTGTTTGAAACTTTGGCTTCAAATAGAATTGATCATCTCATTCCTTGCTTTTCAAATAAATTGTCTCAAAGGTTATAGCATACTGGAAAAGTTAGAGGAAGTTATCGCCTAGCAAAGTATTATGGTGCCATCAAATAAATGTTAAAGTACGGACTCGTTGAGACAAATACATTGGATCTACTCATCGTGGAAGGAAAAAATAATGTAAGTCTAATATATTTGTATGCACACCACACTTCAATACAAAGTAAAATTTCAATGTACGTTGCAGCTGTTCACTTGGGTCACAAAGTTAGACTTCGAAAATTACGGGCCACGTGGAAATTAGTTGTGTTGATTGCTTGCACCATAAGTAAATAACCTAGTTAAATGTTTAGGAGTTAGCGTTATTATACATTTTACTAACTTCGAGGAGAAAAAACAAGCCAGTAAATGATCAGAGTGTCGTATGTGGATGATCTATTGCAGGCAGTAACAAATCTTGTGCTTTTGTACTTTAGACTTTAGTACTTAACGTGATCAAAAGTAAGTGTCGTATGTCTATGAACTAATGAACAGTGGCGGAGGCAGAAAATTATTTTATTGGGGGCATAGATGTTAAACTAAAGTATGATATTAAATAAAAAATCTCTTAAACTGAAATAGTCTTACAAATATTATTAAAAAAACTTATAAGCATACTCTACGTTCAGCCATGGTTTGAAACTTTTTCACCACTGTTTCATTTGTCACCGATGCAAACAAATCCTTTTCA